CCTGCAGAAAAAAAAGTAGTTTCTGAGTCCTTATATTATGCACATACAGATACTTTTTCTTTTGGATATCATGCATATTCATGTTTGAGTCACACTAAGAAAATAAAATACTGGTGATGCCAAAAGACATCAGGAGTCAATACTCTAAAATTGTCAGTGACCTGACGACACCATGTTTCTCTTGTCCCAGGGAACCAGTCCTGGTTCTAAAGTCTGATTGTAACACGGAATTCAACGGAGCTCACAGCACATAGCATTCAGATGATGCTTATCAGCTTTTGAGGGTGGAAGCAGGCAGCAGACTACACTCCTAGTACGCTCTCACTTAAAATCTGCCTGAGAAGGCCAGCAACAATTTTCTAATCCCTTTAACTTGCCTTTCCCTAAAGATCTCAAGACAGTGCTTCCAATTTTACTGGAGTCATAAATCATATATTTCCTTTCTTGTGACTAGTATCCAATAGAGCTAGAGTTTTTAAAGTTTGTCTGCTGAACGTATTATGTTACTGAAATATAAAAATGGCTGCTGTGCACGCCAGTGGTTAGTAAAACTCAAAGATGTAACATTAGCTTTCTCAATTGATTTGAGGAAAGAATGTTCATAAAATATATACTGCTTTTGGTTAGGAGCTTCTTTCTAAATAAACAGACTCAGCAATGGAAATTTTAGAGACAGGCAAAAACAAAACATGCGTCCGTAAATGTACGTTTTAAAATCAATTCTCTCACAATCTTTGTCTTTTGTAAACTTTCTGAAGATTGTAAACTCAGTTGCATCAAGTTTATAATTTATAGCTTTCTAATTTAACTTCTTTTTCAGTTGTTGAAGGAAAATCTCTTACCCCTCTGAAATATTTCTCCTCTATTTTACAGGCTGATGTTGCATCTCTGCCTAAGAAGGCACTTCACTGCAGTGATTTGAGGGAAGCCATTTGTTTGTGATTCAGGCAAGGGAAGAAAAGTGGAACGCTGTGCTACAACATATCTAGTCCTTTGGGCCCTAACAAAATAGGAAATGCAGGAGATTAGGGGACTGCATTGCCTCCAATTAAAAAAAAAAAGTGCTAATCCACACAACATAAAGCCAAACTAAGTGGGGCTATCTTCTCTAATTAGCAATGAACGAAGGTCAGCTAGATTTTTATCTTAGCTACCAACTGGGAAGGAGAAAAGGAGAAAGGAAATACTACAACTTGGTTAGATCCTGCTTTTCACACAAGATTGTATGACTGGTAGCTGCACAGGATGCTTCCAGAAGATTAGAAGGCCAAAAATAAGCAAGGAAATATGGTTGACTCAATGTTTACATTTATTTCAAAAAGAATAGTTCAATCTGGTATGGTAGTTGCAGACACATACATAAATATTAAAAGCACACTATGTTTTTTATGATTTTTTTAAGAGAGCTGTAATTCCTAAGTTATTATCATGACGAATATTTGACCAGAAACCACATGCATACCATATAGCTCTTTACTCATTCTTTTACAGTTTACTGAATGGCCTACAATCAGCCAGTCAAAAGAAATGCAAATATATTTTTCCTGCCTTCAATTAGCTTATACTTTATCTAGGAAAAAAAAAAGTTCAAATACATAAAATAACAAATAGTACAGATAACATCTCAGTATAAAACTGTGAAAGCACAGCAGGTAATTAATTGGCATTTTAATAACAGGAAATACAAGCACTATAAGAATTTGTTAGGGGAACACGTTGTTTCTGTAGGTTGACAATATTCTTCTGAGCACAAGCATTGGTGCTAGAAAAAAACTCTGAGTTCTGCCACTTGTGGACTCTGATGAAGTAATGTTTAAGCTCTCTGAGCTTTAATTTTATCATCAATAGAATGGGGATAATAATAGCTACACTATAGGGTTATCATAAGAAACTAATACATTATACGTGAATGGATTTTGTAATCTGTAAAGAAGCTGTAAAATGACTATTGAGAAGGCAGTCAAAGGAATCATGCCAAACAGTTACCATTAGTTTGGGAAGACAGAAAGGGATAAGAAGTTGGAAGGGATAATGATGATTAATTTTTTTCTTGACATACTTCTCTATTGTTTGAACTTGTGCACTAATCTTGTAACAAAAAAAAAAAAATTAAGGCTATATAAATATTAGCTGAAGTACACATATCTGGATATCACAAAATAATTGTAAACACTAGTAACCCTGCCCCTTTAGAGGTACATAGAAAGAAGCCTCAGTCCTGGTTTCAATTTGAGAATTTCCAAAGTCATAAAAATGTGCCAAGATTGGTAACAATAACTAACTGAAACTGTGTTTCCTTTTCATAACACTTTAAAATAGAGCAAATTTTGTAGTCACCCAAAACCATCTATTGATTCAATAATCACTTTGGTCAACAACATTTGAAATAAGCAAATTAAATAACTTTAGTTCCTCAAAGTCAAGTATTTGTCATGTCCAACTTTGCTTTCTAGGGCCCAATACATTTTGGGTATTCAAGTGATAACTTTACAGACATAAGAAAAGTTATTAAGGCATTTCCAAATCAATGCCAAGGACTTTTCAGAGCAGAATGACCAACTTTTTAAACAGAACTTCGTCACAGATGTGTATTCCTAACGTTTTATGTAAGTGTGAGCTTTTTGAGGGCAGGAGTCAGATCTTAATCTCTGTATGCCCAGTCCCTGGTATTGTGACTAGCAGGTGAGTAGGCGAGAATAAATATTTGTTGAACTATTTGGAGGCAAGAACACCCTCAAACACTTCAGTTAACTGGAAACTCAAGGAGATGGACATATATTCTAAGGGGAACTCAATTTCTATAGCTGTCTCTGGAGAAAATTCCTTAAAATGTTTAGAAAGTCATAAAGATAAGTATAAAGTTAAGTCTTTTGATTGAAATATCATAAGATTCCTATTTGGTGTAGGTAGTAGAACCATTTGAGGGCATATAGATGTATGGACTAAGGTGAAATCATGGTGCAATCTGATCAGAACCCCTTTTGTTTGCCTTGACAAAAATTTCCAAGGCATGTCTTATATCTAAATGGAAGTGGGCAGAAGAAAGGCTTTCACTTTCTGTGGCAGAAGGAGGCCTACTCCTGGAATGCTGGCTGACTACTGGGTCAGTGGTTTATGGTTCCTCTATGAAGACTTCATGTGAGAAAACACACAGATACTTTAAAAAATAAAATGGAGTTGGTATCCACATGTAATACAACTACTAGATTGTACGTAGTCACATTTACATTATTCCCAGTAATATGCAAGCAGTGACAGGGAAAAAAGGGAGGTGAGTCTTACAGGGCTTGTGCAAGCACTATTGAATAGGCCCTAAAGACACAAGTATGGAAGTAAAAGTACAGTGATATAAAGTCATTCCTCTGACTCCTATTGATGATATAAATATTTCTATGAATGGTATACCCAGTGCTAATCTCTGTTCCATGCTAAGATGCCAGATCATTCATGTTTATCTTATTTAATCTTCCTCACAAAATAACAAGGGTTTATCATAACTTTTGAACTCTTTAGTAGTGTGCTATTTAATGAATCAAAAGAAGTCATTTTATGAAAAGCAAATGCTTTAGGACAGTACTCACTTGAAGCTTTTTGGAATATACAATGCAGCGTATAAATAAGTGATATATTTTTCTACTTCTAAAAAGCATTTCAGAAGGCCAGTGGAAATGAATCGCTTTGGCTGTACTTCTTTAAAGGATGCTAAGTTTCTTAGTTTGGTTAGTCAAATTAAATTTGGGAGCTACCTAGAAATTTTCTCACATTTTGATCTTTAGAAGGGCAATTAATCAAGCTCTTGTTTGAGGTGACTCTAGCTTTGATCAGAATCCTACGGAGGGAAAGTGAGAGAACTACATATTCAGAATATTCAACAGTATGTATAATTGAAAACAGCCACAACACGGAAAGAAAAGTAGATGCCAGTGGGCTGCTATCTTATAACCTTTGGTCAAGCGGTACTTGGCAAATTTCAACAGATTTAGTTAATCAGAGATAAAACTAAGCCACAGAATACCATGAAAACAAAACAAAAGTATCAAAACAGAATCAGGAATTAACAGTGAAAAACAATGCTATACCTAACGGCGTGGATCTACCAGAGGCGATTTGTTAGTCCTGAGTCGTTATTTCGTAGTGGATGCTTCAAATAAAAACTTTAACGTTTCTTTAGGTCAAACTATACCACAGCATTCAGAAAGCCAGCCAGAATAGCTGAGGGAAACTAGGAAGGCCACATGTGGAACTAATTACTCATGTAGAGGCTATGACAAAGAACATTTCTCCAGACTTTTCATGGGGGCTTCACTTTCAGGAAGTTGCTATAATTACTGTTCAAGTCTAGAGCAGCCTGCAAGCTGCTGACAGATCCAACAGACAGGAGAAGGAGGGAGAGAGAGAAGGAGTGAAAGAGAGGAGGGAGAGAGAGAGAGAGAGAGGGATGGGGGAGGGAGGGAGGGGGAAAGAGAGATGGGGGGAGCGAGACAGAGGAAGAGAGACAGAGAGAGAGAGAGAGAGAGAGAGAGAGAGAGAGAGAG